GTTAAATGTGTAATCGTGATTTTCCTTATCTTATAATTCTAATTACGATTTCTGCTCGTTACTCCAACTCGTTAATCCCAAAATATATGCCTCACGAAATACGATAGTGGTCTCTCTGTATTTCTCTCGTTTACTCACTCTCTCTCTCTCCCTCTCTCTTTAATGTCGTTGAAGTATTACATTTGCAAATATAAACACTGACGATTTAATTTCATTTATAAATTTAACTTATTATTCTACCTTTCCAAAACCCCTTGCACTTTCAAAGTAAAATAACATGTAAATATTTATTTTAACTCTTTGCCACTTGATGGAAATTTAAGAGTGCTACTTTGAATTTCTTTTTTTTTTTTTTTTTTTGGAAAAAAATTTTTTATTTCAGTTCGCAGTAAAATTTTGAGAACATTTTAGCAAAAAAAAATAATGTTTATTATTTTCTTTTGAGAAAAAGTTAATTAATTAAGAAAAATTAACTGAAGGTTTTGAAATTTCAGTTTTTGAAAATAGTGAAAAAAATTGTTTTTTTATAACTGAATTTTTATGGACAAGTAGAATAAGTAAATTATGATTACATATACGCGAAAGCTAATTTATAAGTAGAACAAGTAAATTATGGTCAGACACAAGCACAATAATTTTATAAGTAGAATAAGTAAATTATAGTCATACATAAGCAGAATAATTTTATAAGTAGAAATAAATATAAATAAAAATATAAGTGGAACAAGTAAATTATGGTCAGACATAAACATAAACAAAAAATTAAAGTGGAACAAGTAAATTATAGTCAGGAAGAATAATTTTAAAAGTAAAATAAGTAAATTATGGTCAGACACAAACATAATAATTTTATAAGTAGAATAATTAAATTATAGTCAGACATAAGAAAAGAATTTCATAAGTAATTTTTTTCTTTTTTTTCAAAATCAATATTGAAAAAACTTTTTTATTTATTTTATTACTAAAAACAACAAGAAAATAACACAAGAGAATTGTTTCATGTTCTATTTTATTGATACACTGACATAAATCCACTTATTTAGTTTTCAAGTGAAGTAAAAAGACTTTGGTCAGACGGGAAATAGTTTCTTCTTTACAATTAATATGTTGTCTAGTAGAACAAGCCATTTAAAGTCAGGCACGTTTTATTTTGTCAAAAGAAAAATCTTCTATTTTATATATTTACAAATAAAAAGTAAAAAAATAAAGTTAATTTTTTTTAATTAAATAAATTTTTAGCCAGACTTTTACTACTCGTTCAAAAATACACAAGTTTTGTCTGACTGAAACTGACTTTTACTACTTACTGTCTGCCAATTGTAAGATGGATTAAAAAAATATTATCTTATACAAAAACTGTCTTTTACTACTGATGTGAAAATCGAGATTTTTCACTAACTTTTAAAAAATATGCTTACAATGCTTTTAGAAAAAAAAAATTGAAAAAATGTGTAAAAAAGACATATCTTTAGTAAGTATATAAAATTGGTAGTAGCTCGACTGGAAGCCCCTCGAGGCACTTTTTTTTTAATTAGTGAAGTGGATTTTGAGATGAGCAGGACAAATGGCGATCCACAGTCATTGAGCACGAACTTGGCTGACTGCACGTATATATATATATATGAACTCCTGCATCCACTTAAGTATGTAGATTGTGCTCAGCACATGTGCAATTAATAGCTGATGTTCTCATACTCGCACCACACATTCAATACACATATACATGTATATATTGAACAGAGACTAAGTTACAATTGAGAATTGTCGTTTGGCTAACATGGCTACATGAACTATAAAAAGTTAATTGAAATCACGCTGTCGAGATCCCTTGTCGAATTCGCAAAATACACGCTCCATTGCCTTCAGGGCTTGTTGTAAAGTTTCTACCACCACCCCCTCCCCACCTTTCTAAATTTACGAAGAGCTATACTGAACCTTCGACAAGTTGCTTTCCCTGCGCGCGAGTATTAACAACTTCCGAATATAAATGCAATTAACAATCCAAACATTTCAAACTGACACTTTAGAGTTCAGAAGCTCAAATATTATTATATTTAATTGTTATCTCGAAATGGTAAATTACAAAATGTAACTGTATATAAAAGACAATTTAAAAAGCAATTTCAGTTTTCATTTAAATATATATTTTTTTTTTATTATAAACTCCACATTTGTTGAAAACAATTCACCCAACTTTGTTAATTAAATTTAAAATAATAAAACAATAAATTTTTTAATATTTTATGTATTTAAAAAAAAAAGATTTTAATTACTTTTTGTTTATCGGTTAAAAAAATTTGCATATGCTTTATGCACTATTGAATTTTGAGAAAACGAGATAAGCAACGAGACTTTATTCTATATACATGTGGTTAATCTGTTTTGAACAAATGTGAAGTGTGATGCGTGAACTCTCGAGCGTGAATTTCAATTCACAGACTGAACAACTGACTATATATATATGTGTGTGTACCATGCAGCATCTCAGGCTGTATACTGACTTGTTTTGAAGATGGGGTTTCTAATCTGAGTTGAAAATGTACAAACACACATGTGGCAAGAGAAGTGCTCCCTTGATACAAGTTCCAGTAGAACTGGAAACAGTAATCCGACAAACGCAATAATGTTCTGAGTAACATGCACCATAATTCACGGATACATGTCCTCTTATAACTCGTTTTTTTCTGAGAAAAAAAAATTATCTGTAAAATCATCTGAATTTTTCATATACACTTAATTTTTTGCCAAACTTAATAAATTTTTTTCCAAAAATATATTTTTTTTCCAAAAAATAAATTTTTCTCCAAACATATAATTTGTGCTGAACAAAATTTTGTTAGTATAAAAAAAATTTATTTCAAACAATAATATAAATATAGTTGATGAAAAATATTTTTAAAGAAAAAAATTTCCACTAAATATTTTGTGTTAAAAAAAGAAATTTAAAGAATAATTTTTTTTTGTTTAATAAATTTTTAAATAACTTTTCACAAAAAGCAAATTTGTGTGTATAGTATGTATATAGTGCATAGAATGTTAGTTTCAAATAAACAGAAGTTTCATTTAAACGGTCTGACACTCCACTCTCTGAACTCTCGTTTAATTAAAAGCCTGGGTACCCTAATTTTCCTAGTATAGAAAAAAAAACTAATGAACAAACAACTATAAAAATGGAAAAAAATGCACAACAGTTCCGCCTGACTAAAACTTATTTTAACTACTGATGTAAAAATAAAAAAGAATTTGGAATGATTTGTCTAACTTATTCTGTATTAGAAGAAAACGTTCTGTCCGACTAAAACGGTTTTTTACTACTTATATTACTAATATTATTTAGGTAGAAAACAAAGAAAATCGCAGCGTAAAAAATCGTCTAACTAAAACTGACTTTTACTACTTGTATATAAAAATTACATATTATGTCTGATTAAAAGTTGACTTGTTCTACTTATATCAAAATTTAAGAGAAAATAAAAAAGAGAAATAAAAATTAGTCAATAATTTAAAAAAAAGAAAATAATTTTCGAAATATAATAATAATAATTATGAAAAATTAATTTTTGTATTAATTAAAATGTCACAATACAAATATTATGTTTATTAAATATTATGTTTATTAAATATTATGTTTATTAAATAATAGTGTAAACAAAGAGTTATTTATATTTTTTGGGGGAGGATGTAAATATATAAATTTGGTAGAAATAAAGTTTTATGGCTAGTTTATTCGAAAATGGAAGAAACACAAACAAAAAGCACATCATGAGACTAACTTTTGAACAGAGACTATTTGCTCGCTTTAAATTCTATTTGCATTCTCAGCTGAGGGAAATTATCTACAAAACTCTTCCAGCAATGAAGTATGAAATTTTGAAATGGTTTTAAAAACATTGTTGTATAAGTGGCTTAAATTTATTTTTATACTCGAATTTCATTTTGAAATGGATTTTATAGGTAAAAAAAATAATTTTTACTGAAAGAGGCATATTAAATTAGAAAAAGATTTTCTTATTTTTATTATATATCCTTTTTGTCTGTCTGACTAAAAACTGATTTTTACTACTTTTTAAAATTTCAGAGTTGCTGTCTGACTGAAAATAACTGCTACTACTTCTACTGCACGAATTTAGTAAGTCTTTACTACTTTTTTAATTTAAAACTTGCTTCTGCCACTTATACTAAAATAACAAGAATTTGTAAAAGTCTTGACTAAATCAGACTTTTACTACTTACGCAAAAATTAATTTTTTGTTTGTCTGACTGAATATGCCTTTTACTACTTTCATGGAGTAAATAAGAATTTAAATCGTTTTGTCCGACTCAAACATTATATTACTACTAGTATTAAATTTTTAAAACTTCTGACTGAACACTGACTTTTACTACTTATACTCTACAGTTACATACAATTTCGAAAAGTTTGATTGAAAACTGACATTAACTACTTTTTTCATAATATTCCGTCTGAATGAAACTGGTATTTTCTACTCTTACCGAATTGAAAAAAATTTGATTGGGCAATTTTATAATTTATTACAATTTAATTAAATTTGATCAAATTTATTAAAAATTAATTTTTATTTTTAAAAAATTGTATAAATTAAATAAATTTATAATAAATTGATTAGTTATTTACAGATTAAAAATAGATCAAGTGAAAATAATAAAAATGTACAATTAAATCGTTTACAGAAACAAATGGTAATTTCGGTGATTTCAATTTATGTCTATTGTGACACTAACGAATTTAAAACAACAGCAATTGCGCATCGTATGTCACGAGAGGATGTGTCGCATCTGAATTAATTTCCCTATCGTTTAATAGATACGCTTAATCTAATGCAGAGAAGAGTGATGGGCAATAGTAGTATTAGTAATAGTATAGAGTTTATATATATATACAAGACCGAAATATAGCCAAGATGCGAAACCATTTAAGGCCAAAACGTGCCAAACGCGTGCCACTTAATTCGTTAATTTATAGCGTGCGCTTGACTCACCATTACGTTGAGGATGCAACCTCCCTCATGCTTCTACTTCCGATACCAGTACCCCACATCCGGTTGAGGTTTTCACCCAAACAATAACCGGAAACATCAAAACTTCTCCTTTTTTCAAAACAGTTCTTTTTTAAAAATAAAAAAAAAATTCACACTTATATTTTTTTTTCCAAGAAGTGTGTCAATTCACAAAATAATTTGACATCGCACAAAAACTATAAACACTGGAAATAATTGTCAAACATCTTGATTAATGTCGCATAAGTTTTGAAATTCACTTTTACTTTTTATTTGCACTTTTTACATAATTGATAATTTCTTTTTAATCATTACATTCTTATTGCAAAAAAAAAAGTCCATTTAATTTTTTAAAAAATAAAATTTCTTTTATTTTCAATTTCTTCTGTAAAATATGTTTTTTGTGTCATTAAATTCATTCAGAGAATGAACGATGGAAAATTAATTAGATGGAAGTCAATGAGAGTATACGTGAAAACACATCATATCGCGTCTCTCTATTATTGATTACTCACGAATTATTCCAAAAAAAAAAAAAAAAACAAAAATCAATAATGATGATAATTATTCGCTGAAATTAATTACCCTTGAAAATTGGTACTTTCTCTATATAGAGTTGATAAATTCAATCATTATTTGAAATGACTTTTTAATAATTATTATTATCATTTGTTGTAATTATTTTTCATTATATATTTTATTACTATATTTTTATTCAATTTTTTATTGATATTTATTATTAAGTATTTTATTACTATTTAATAAATATTTTATTACTATTTATTATTAATATTTAATTACTATTTATTATTATTCTTTTATTACAGTTCATTATTATTAAATATTTTATTACCAATTTATTATCATTGTTTTGAAAAGTTTCGATTAAATTTTATTGTCATTATTTTTAGAAACTTTCAATTCTGATAGAGAATATTTTAGAGTGATTTTTGTATTTGCAATTTGGAATTCTTAAGAAGTTGCATATTTCTTTTTTTTATTTTTTTTTTGGTATGTGTATTTTTAGCACTTTTTTATTTGAATAGCGCGAAAATATCGATTGTGATAAACCATTGAGCTTTTCAACGTGGTTTTGCCGGAAGCATATGAATCATGCAAAAGAATGTGTGGTGTTTTTTTTTATTTTTGTTAGTGTGTGCGCCGAGCGGAATAAAGTGCACACTTCACTAGCGGCAGTTGACGCGATACTGGAGAAAATCAGCGAGTTTCTCTTGCCGCCAGCAAAATCCGGACGCTTGCGCTATGCTACCCTTATGTATATATAACCCTTTCCCACAAAACGTGGCCTTAGGAAAAGGAACACTGTGTTCTCGCCGCAGAAAGTACATCGCTAAAAGCCAACATTTCGGAAGTTATAGCGATTAACCAACCGGGAATTTAGAAAAGCTTCCTTTAATTCTTAGAAGACAATTTTTTATATATATATATATTAGTTGCAAAATAGGCAAAATAAACTCGAACCAATAAAGAGAAAAAAAATGGATTTCTTGAATTTTCAAATATTGAAATTTTTGCTTCAATGAGGATTTTTTTTCAACAGATGTTTGTCTGACTGAAACAAACTTATACTACTGATAAAATAAAAACAATAACCGTCTGACTAAAAAATGACTTTCACTACTGATAAGTAAATATTTTATTATTTTTGAAGCAAAAAATTCCAATTTAATATTTAGTCTGGCTGTGACTGTCTTTTACTACTGATACTATTAGAAATTTCGAAGGTTATGTCTGACTCTAAAAGTATTTTACTACTAATTAGAAGTTAGCAAGGATTTTATTTGATTAAATCAATATTTTTCCTAAATTCTATATTGTCTGACTGTAATTTACGTTAACCACTAGTAATAAATAACACTTTGAAGTAATCTGTCTGACCAAAACTGACTTGTACTACTGATATCAATATTTTACAAAAATAATTATGTCTTCGGAAAAAAAATTTCTGAGAAAAATTTTCCGATAATTAAAAATTTTGTAAGTCTGGCTTCAACTGTCATTTTCTACTGCAAAATTAAAAAAAACGTGGAAAATTGTAGTCTAACTGAAACTGACTTCTACTACTGACGATACAAAACAGAATTGTTATATTTAATTTTACTACTGACAAATAATTAAAAAAAATTTATTGTCTGGTTATGACTATCTTTTACTACTGATACTAAAATTTACAAAAAGGGAAAATATTGTGTCTGACTAAAACTGATATTCACTACTAAATAAAATTGTAAAAATTTAAAAATTCTAACTGAAAACTTAATTTTCATACTGGAAAAATTTGTTAACAGAGTATTTTTGTCTTAATGAATCTGAATTTTCAACTTTTCCTCGAACAATTGCAGGAATGTCTGACTGAAACTGACTTTTACTACTTCTACTACATTTAATATTTTTACTATACAGTAACAAAAATTAGGAATATCTGACTATAACCTGCTTTTACTACTTTTACCGTAACTACAACAATCCGAAATGTCTGACTAAAAACTTACTTTTACTACTTTTAATTCTAAATTATTTATGTTAGAAAAATTATCCACTAAATTTTACTAACATGTCTTTAAAAAAACTCTGAATTCAATTTCGTGATCTGCTATCTTATAAAATTAAAAAAATACCTTTTTCAAAATATTTTTTTTTTCTTTTTTTTTTTGACGAAAATTTTATATCATTTGCAATAAGTATGCCACGTGTTATTTTTATAAAAGGTCATAGAAGATCATTTTAAGTCTCATGCGAACAAGTATCATAAAAATGAAGTGTAATACTTTTACAGCGAAACTTGGAACATTTTAAATTGCATTCTACTTATAAACTGGCAGAGACCATTCTGTCATAATAGTTATAACGCATTTTATACATGAAACAATAACGTTTATAAATTATTATTTTTTTTTAATACCATTTACCATAATTAATGCAAATAACATAAAAATAAAATTTTAACAATTTATTTCACTTTTTTTTCTCTCTCAAATTTTATTATTATAGATATCATCTTGTATTACTTTTTTATCTGCCTCTCTTTTTTTTCTGTGTTTTATTTCTCGTACGCACGCTTCTTTTCAATACCCTTTTAAATTTTTATATACATTCTATTTTTTTTTTTATATGTTTTTCCTTTGTGATTTTTTAATGTTTCTTCTTTATGGGCGTCTTGGTTGAATTTTCATTTTACACATATATGGTAAGCGATATCAAAAATAATAAATTTGCATATATGCAAAATGAATTAATGATTTAAATTCCAAGGGAAAATAATTTTTTTTTATAAATAAATATAATTAATTTATATATAGAAAAAATGAAATAACGATTTAAATTTAAGGGAAAATATTTTTTTTTCTAAATAAAAATAAATAAATAAACAATTCCTTGTGGAAAATAGTCGATCTGTCAAGTGGGGAAACAAGAAATCTCTACAGTAGAGACGTCAACTTCTTGGCTGGCATCTCTGTAGGTACTGTTAGGAAAAGTGACAGACAGGAAGCCTCATAAATATCTAACGAGAGCGTCGAAGTGTGTGAGAGAGAGAGAGGAGATATCTCTCCAAAATTGTAAAGCACAGTTTGCCATTTGCGCACAAACAACTCTTTTATAATAAATATTGATATAAAACCATATAAAATCTTTATGCCCCAAAGCATTTTTCAAAAACTTTCAACGAAAAATTACACTCGCAATCGGGTCTTCATTCTTATTCATTTATCGTCTCCTCTTCGAATTTTATTTTCTTTTTTTTTACCCTGCCATTGGTATTATAATTCACTATATTTGCATTTACAGTCCTTTCCACTTTTCTTTAAAAGTTGAATGAAATTTTCATCTCTTCTTCAAAGAACAAATAATTTTCTCATTCAAAAAAAAAAAATCGTTTGAAATCAAATATCGAGTAAATGAAATAGCTGAAAAAAAATTTCAAATTTTTGTTTTTTTTTTTTTTTATTATTTAATTTCCATTTTTGTCGCATGAATAAAGAATAGAAACTATAAATAGTAACCGCAACCTTGACATATAGTTTGAAGAATAGAAACAAACGAGAATAGACAATTAACACAGTCAACATGACACTCTTTTGCTTTACTCTCTCTCTCTATTCTCTAGAGGGATGAGTTTCTTTTTAAGGCTATCATATCTCTATACTGTCAAGTTGAAAATAGAAAAACAATTGAAATGAACTTAAAAGGGAATTGATATACACTTTAGAAAATAATAAAAGAAAATGTTTGGCCTTAAACTTTGATTTATTTTCTTGTGATTTAAAATTAAATTTTGGTTTTGAATTTTACATGCCTTTTCAATTGGTTTGTTAATTAAAATTTAAAATTTTTCCAATCGAAAAAAAATTGGTGAAAAAAATTTTTTTTTTGTTTAAAGGTACTTTGTGGCACTTAGGTAATAACTATGGGCACACTGTGCCTATTTTACAAAGTTCTTGTGATGATGCAACCTGATGTTACACTTTTTGACCCAGTAAAGTTTTTTCCTCTCCTCACTCTCTTTCTCTCTCTTTCTCTCTCTTTCTATATATATAAGGACTGAAAAATCGCTGACACTCAGGGGTGATGCACGTCGGAACGACATAATAGAACTTCATTAATAATACAGAAAAACGTGGTCTGGCAAATTTAAATTGCAAAAGGTAAAGCACAATTTTAAAGAACGTCGATTCAGGTTGAATGTCAAACTGAAAATTGCCATCTTTCTCATAAGAGCGCTTGATAGAAATAAGAATTTTATAAATATATATATATTTTGAAAGTAATGGTCAGCATAACAGCCTTAGACACACTTGCTCTCCTTTTAAAATCCCCTTTTCTCGAAAAACATATCAAAAACCTTAAAATCGATAAAGAGTAAATCATTTTGGATTATCCGTTACTAAACTTTTGCAAAACCCCCAACTCACAAGCTTCTCTTCTCGACCTCTTCTGATAAAGTGTATCCTGCAGTTTATAGGAATTGAAAGTAAATATCGTAAATTTCATCCTCTCATGTTTCATCATTATAGTCATATTAATAGAAAAAACTATTTTATATGAGAAAACTACTATAAAATATTACCAAAACCATCGTAGATATAATAAAAAAATTTACTAATTCAAGAAAATGAATGACAATTAAAAGAAAAAATATTTTTTACATACAATATATTTTATGAACAATATATTACAATATATAATATTTTTTCTATACTATATTTTATAAAAATAAAAAAAAATTAAATAAAAATATATTTAAAAAAAAGTTACATTTTATAAAATTTTTTCGATATATAAATAGCAGACAATTGATGAAGACGAACTCGCACTTTATAATATATATTTTTTAATATAAAATTTATTTCTAATTAAGATGAACGAAAAGTGGATGCAAGTTTATAAATAGCCATTATCGCCCAGATTGCTTGAATAATTTACTTCCGGTGCTAAAAAGCTCATGCATGAAATTTAAATTATAAACTTATTTGCATGAAATTAACCACAACCGCTCATCACTTCAGATCGAAGAGCTAATTATAAAATACAATTCTAAATAAAGAGTTCTAGAACAAAAAAAAATCGGGTCACACTAGACAAAAAAAAATACACTCGACTGAAAAATTATTAATTTTTTTTGAACAGACGTGCGTCGTGACTAAAACCGACTTGTACTACTGATAAAGTA